ACTTATAATATAATTATATAATATATAAAATTTTGTTGTTTTACTCATATATTCACATATAACAATTCTATTCACTTCGCAAATCAAATTAAATTCAATATAATTTTACAAACTACTTTGCACTACGATAACTCTATTTATTCTCCTGAAGATCTGTTATACGTCTCAAGCTTCGAAATACATATAAATAATAGATACACTATTTCCGTCCACATATTTATCCAATTATTTTTTATTTATTATTTTTATGTGGAAGTATCTACATGCACGAATACGTATTTTGACGCCTACTTATTATGTATTATTGTATATATATCTGTATGTGCAAATATTGATATCTGTGCGGATATATATATATTTATGTATATAGTTCTACATGTTCTCTTTGGTATGTACATTTGCATCTTTGTATATGTTTGTGGGCATATAATATCACACAAGCATTATATGTGTGTATATGTGTGTGCGCGCGCGGCCATCTGTAAATGTGTGAATGTATGTTTGTATATATTGTATATTATATGTGTTTATGTGTATATGTTTAACTGTATATATTTCTATACTTGTTGTGTGGATGTGTATGTACGGGAACATATATCTATATGTATGAGTGTCTGTGTTTGTATGCATATGCGTGGGTATGTATATGTGTATATGCGTGTGTATGTATGTATGTATACATGTATATATTGTTGTGTGTGTCTATATATATCTAAAATACCTAAGCATGTCGGTACTTCAATGGAACTGTAATGGTTTAAAAACTCACTTTAACGATTTAAAAATACTAATACAAGATATAGACCCGTTTTGCATTGCACTACAAGAGACACACCTCACAATCAACGACAATTTTTCTATAAAAATTTTCGATATATACAGAAAAGACAGTCCGAACCCAAACCACAGTCACCACGGAATTTTAATAGCTATAGATAAATTCTGCCATATATTCTGGAACAATCAACATTAATTCTCATCTTCAAGTTGTTGAAACCAGAGTTCGCAAAGATTTTTCATTTTCCATCTGTAATATATACCTTCCACAAGACCGTACCATAGATACACAACAACTCCTAGATATCTATAACCAAATGCCTCGTCCAGTTCTTTTTATTGGGGATCTGAACGGTCACAACCCTTTATGGGGCTCCCAAAACATTAACACGCGAGGTAAAGTAATAGAAAATTTTTTAGATGCTTCTAATCTGCTTCTACTCAACATCGGAGAACCTACCTTTCTCAGCACAAGCTATGGCACTTTCTCGACTCTTGATTTGTCACTCTGCGATCCCTCGTTATTTGCCATTACAAATTGGACGATTTTGCCCGATTCATATAGTAGTGACCATTTTCCAATACTGATAAAATTTAAAATAACGAATCCCACCCGAGTAAAACCGAGATTTGTTCTAAATAGAGCTGACTGGACCTTATTTTCTTCATTAGCCTCGCCATCTCAAACTCTCCCATATCAAATGAATGTCGATAAAGGCTGTCAAACTATCACGAATACTATCATAGAAGCGGCTAAAGCATCAATACCAATGATCTCAGGCTCACCAAGAAGACCGCTTGTCCCCTGGTTTAACGATGTTTGCAAGGAAGCCATTAAAGATCGCCGTAAAGCCTACAAAAAATTCCAGAAATCTATGACCTCTCAAAATTTAATGGAATATAAAAGACAGCGTGCTATGTGTAGAAAAATAATTAATCAGTCTAAGACCGAATCCTGGAAAAAATGTATAAACTCCATTAATTCATCAGCCACATCAACTGACGTTTGGAACAAAATCAGTAAATTCACTAAAACCTCATATTCCTCTCGCTATACTATTTTGGTCAATGGACGACTGTCTGACAATCCTCTATCAGTCTCAAACACATTTGCAACTTTTTTTTCTGAAATATATAGCTCCGGAAGAAATAATACAAGCTCGGAATACACGGACCCTGAGAGGACAATTGATGATGAATTATTATGTTACAACCTCCCATTTTCAATGTGGGAACACAAAAACATATTAAGAACTGTTAAAGGCTCAACCCCTGGCCCTGACCTGGTCCACTATGACATGATAAAGAACTTCCCAGGTAATACACTGGAATGGTTACTCGGTTATTGTAATCATGTCTGGTCCACTGGACAGTTCCCGAATAAATGGCGTGATTCAGTGGTCATCCCAATCCTCAAAAGCGAAAATGATAAACGTTTACCAACCAGCTATCGCCCTATATTTCTCACAAGCTGCTTAAGTAAATTAATGGAGCGGACGATTAATAAAAGATTAATGTGGATAGTCGAGAACAACAATTAAATTCAACACTTTCAATCGGGATTCCATAAGGGTCGATGCACATTGGATCATTTGGTTGCATTAGAAGCCGAAACTCAATATAGTTTTATCAACGCACAACAGACAATAGCCATATTTTTCGATATGAAAAAAAGCTTTTGATAATATAAATCACTACATTATCCTCAATAAATTATCATCTGTAGGAATTAGAGACAGAATGTACAATTATGTTAAACAATTTCTAACGCACCGGGGCTTTAGAGTTCAGGTAGGAGGAGAATTATCCGAGAACCACCATCAGTTCAACGGTGTCCCTCAAGGTTGTGTCCTGAGCCCAACTCTGTTCTGTCTGGCGATAAATGACTTGGGCCTTAACTTGCCAAGAGGTGTTAAACCGCTTCTATTCGCGGATGATCTAGCCATTCTCTGCCGATCTGGCAACATTGACACTATATAAAACAAACTACAGGACGCTGTTAATAGAATAAAAACCTGGTCTCTTTCCATTGGTCTCCAATTTTCTTCCACACAAACTAAGTGCATGCATTTCAGTCGAAAGAGAAACACCCCTAACTCGCCCGAAATCTACCTCGGAAATTTCATAATCCCGTACTCGAACCAACATAGATTCTGGGGCATGATCTTTGACCGAAGACTAGCTTGGGAACCACATATGTCTGCACTAAAGACAGCCACTACAAAAAGAATAACTATCTTGCGATATCTAAGCGGCACTTCCTGGGGCCCAGACAGACTTACGTTAATAAAACTGTATAAAGCTCTGGTATGTTCGAAATTAGACTATGGGTGCTTTATATATGGGTCCGCTTGCTATCGGATCCTAAACAAACTCTATACAGTTCACCACACAGGCATTAGGATAGCAACTGGCGCATTTCGAACAAGTCCCATCCTTAGTCCCTGCTCTGAGGCCGGAATACCCCCTCTTTTATTTAGAAGGGAAAAACTGGCCGTTAACTACATTTCAAGGCTGCTTCCCCAAAATAAACATCCCACTCACAACTAAATTTTTAAACCTAAATTTTCAAACGCTTTTAGAAACAAAACAAATTCCACACTCCCATTGTCAGAAAGAATTTATTCAGCAGCTGAATCACTTAAGAACTTACCTTTATTCAATATAGAAAACCAAAACCCACCTTGGATCCACAAACCCCCAAAAATGATGCTCCGTCTCTCTCGATTAGTCGAAAACAATACCTCACACTACGAGTACAAAACCGAATTTTTCCGGCTACTACAAAATATTCCAGATACATTTTTAATTTACACTGATGGTTCGAAATCCGATGATGCTACAGCTTGTTCGTTTGTTACCCATAACTCCACGCATAAAATAAAACTACATAGACTGAACAGCATATACACAGCGGAACTTCACGCAATATCTTCAGCCCTCCACCTCTGCATGTCAATATCTCCAGCTTCGATAGTTTTGATAACCGACTCCTTGAGTTCATTAAAGGGTTTAAATGATATGTACTCAAAACATCCAGTTATCCATAAAATACACAAATATTTTCACACTCTGGAAAATTTAGGTAAATCGGTTTGTTTTATATGGGTTCCAAGTCACGTGGGTATAGTTGGTAATGAGCTTGCGGATGCGGCAGCTAAACAGGCACTCGCACTTCCAGACCGAGGTACTCCTATCCTGACCCCTCCAGAAATGAGTTTTCCTCTGAAAAAAGAAATATTGGATAGTTGGCAGTCTATGTGGAACGAAAGCCTACCTAGCAAATTAAAAGTTGTTAAAAAATCAGTTAAGTCCTGGATCACATCAAACCACCTTAATTGTAGAGAGGAAGTCGCTGTGACCAGATTAAGAATAAGACACACGAACCTAACCCATGTACATCTCATCACTAAGCAGCCACCACCAAATTGTCAGCATTGCAATAGTCTTCTCACAGTCAACCATATTTTCCAAGAATGCACTTATTATACTTCAAGCCTAAATCGATTATCTCTAAAACCGGATATATCAGTAGTATTAAACAACGACGAATCAAACATAGGAACCGTGATAAAATTTCTTAAAATCCATAGACTATTAAATAAAATATAAAAATAGATATAATTTGTATTTTATTGTTCTTTTTTTGTATCTATTTTAATATATTTCATTTTTATACGTTTTTAAATATCTTTTTCATATACCAATACATCTATCTATTATTAATTTTTGATTGTTCATTTTTTTTTCTGTTTCTCCTCTAAAGAGTTTACAAACATAACTGATTCACAGGCGTTGATGACCTTGGGGTTTTACGCCTTAAAGACTGAATAAACAAACAAACAAACTTCCCTCTACAATTTAATTCATTATTCGTATTGTAATAATCAAAAATTGAGATTAACTATTATTTTAATGTGAGCATTGCTGGTCAAGAAAATGACCGAAATTGTGTTTTAAAGTGAGTCAGGGATAGTAATAAGCCAAAATATGAAAACTTCCATTTCAACAGTTCTTTAAAATTCCACTTTTTCCCGTATTGTAGCATCTTTTTCCTAGCAATATATATAAACGATATGGATGAATCGACCGGAGTTAGGGAAGTTTCACCTCCAAGACCAACTTCTCCTTATAATATTTTTATTTGTTTATAGTTTTGTTTTTTAGTCAGTGATTAGAAAAAAATTATTGACCAAATTTATCATTATTTTTTTTTTTTTCAGACTACTGAAGATTCATCGGAAGATGGAAATAACGCAAGAGCTGTCGTAACAATGTTGCGCAGTCTCGTAGGTGTATAAATGAACAGCAACATTATTTTTCTAATAATAGAAAATACAATAAATAGATAATATAAAAAATTGTTATAAAAAATCTTATGTAAAAAACAATAAACTATTTAAACAGTGCATATTTCTGTCATTCCTAATATACTAGAGCCAGTAGTTAACTACATTTACATCTACAAGAACTACTTTCATAGTTCATAGTTGACAGAGAACACCGTTTCTCAACTAATAGTAGAGAGAAACACTTTATTTTCATAAAATATAAAATATAAAGGATTGCTGCCCAATTATATTGGGTTGCTATACACACAGCATACTCTTTTATCCTTAGGACAATATATGAACTTATATATAAATATACAGAAGTCTTAGTTAATATTAGTAAAATAGATATATATACATACATTTTTATTTTATTTTTCCATTTTTTTTTTTTTTTCCTTTTTCCTTCCTTTCATTGTTTATGTGTTCTTTTTTTTTTAACATTTAGTTTCCCTTTCTCTCACTTCTCTCTCTTTATCTATATTGTTTTCAATTATTCATTAAATAAATACATAAATTAAAACTCTCGGGCTAGCCATGCACGTGGTGGTGAATGATTCCCAGGGAGTCGAGGACTATATTTTCAGCCTAGTTCCTCGAGGAAGCTCATTGTTCTTTTTGGGATAGTTCCGCGAGACCCAAACCAGAGGCCTCTCACGGTGAACTCTCTCTCTCCGAAGGTCTCACGGAATTTATCTTTTAGGAAAGGGATACATTTATCGTACGTGTTCTTCTTTTCCCTTTCCACTTCACCCGCCTGATCGAGGTCATTGCTCTCTAAGCGGACAGTTGGATCCAAGATCAGCGCTGTCCTTCCTGTCTTGGGAAATGCGACGATATCCGCATATCTCGTAGATCCTTCACTATCGATGCAATATACCTCGTCAAAGCAGGTGAATTTCCTTTCCCTAAGGAGCCTCATCAACTCGATCTTGATCCAGTGGTGACGACGTGTTATGAGGAGGGAGTTGTTGGGGCATTTTCCCAGCACATGGGCTGGTGTTTCAGACTCTCTGCCGCATTTACGGCAGAGGGACCCAACTTCTCCTATCCTAAATATAATCCGCTATCCTCCTCCTTTCTCAAGTTTTCGGCACTCTCGAGGAAACTTTAAAATGTTTAATTAATGTTTAAATGTTGTCCCATTTTCAATTGCGGAGGTATTTGGTTGAACAAATTCGAATCTGTTAAGTCAGGTAAATCAGGTACTCTAGTTTCGAAATGTATATGTTAAACATTTATTTTCATTTATTTATATATAGTAGAACGTAAAAATTTAAAATAGCTCTATGCCCCAATTTTAGGCACCTCATTCCAAATTTTCAGAATCCGAAATTAACAGTTCCTGACATTTTTCAGAATAAAAGAATATCAACGCAGAAATATTTGTCACAAAGATCGGTGGGTACAGAAAGAAAAAATCGTGTGTAACTAGGAAATTACGGCCTTATTTATGTTTACAAATATGAATACGAATCATCTTTATTCATATTTCTTTCTTTTTTTAACATAAATATATTCATATTTATATTCATAAATACCATAAATATAAATGCTATTCGTATTTATATTTTTGAATATAAATTAACCCATCTCAGTAGAAATTATACCAATTCCGAAATAGATAAATTTTAAGGGTTGCAATCTTTGTTGTTTTCATTCAAATGTATCAACTATTTCTTTAAAATCCTAAAAACTTCCATAGATACAGGTCATTTTTTTAATCCGTTTAAATATTTGGTCAGGGTCTCTAATGTAAAACACTTTATAAAAGTTGTTCTACCAGCTTGTAGTTATCAATTCGTAAGGAATTTCACGTATCCACTTTCACACAGCAACTTTAATTGTTCCTTACATTGTTGGAATAAACGCAGATACGACTAGTAATTACATAATAAGTATTACTTTGCGATGAAGTGCAATTAATATAAACTTTCTTTGCTGCATAAATCACCGATATGGTAAGTCTTGTGACTGTCACCTTTCAATGTAAAAGATGACGGTATTTGTCATATCCTTTTCATCCAGGAAAGGAATGAAAATAAACAGGGTGTCCCAGTTCTTAATGGCCAATCTCTGGGTGGTAATTCTAGACTAAATTTCCAATAAAATTTGATACATGGGGCGATTCCGAATGGAAAAAGCTGGTGCGGTGTGCGCATCACATTCACTTACCACCCTCTTCTTAGCAGAAATAAGTATTTTCAGACAAAGGGGAAGTGAAAGTAAAAATTATAAACGCTATATTAGTTTGTATTTCACGATTTGTATTTCTGTGGATATTTTTATTTGTTTAAATATATATATATATATATATATATATATATATATATATATATATATATATATATATATATATACATATATATATTGAAAACATAAAAAATTCCACCCACTTGATTTTTTTATGTTTTCATCTAGAAATATTTCTGTTTTGGATTGGTCTATTGTTTTTAATGAATAAATAGATAATCTTCTTGTTTGTTTTTAAATAGGAATGTTAATATAGAGAACAATAACTCTTAATCCTTAATTCGATGAAATGATTCTAGATTTCAATGTTTACTTTCTATAGAATCAAAATGTTTATTCATTATCATTAGTTCAGTGCCGTTTCTTGCAGCACATTTCTTAGTCTCAGGCTTTTAATTTTTTCAATATTAAGTTTAAAAATGCCTCCTAGTCCTGAGGATGTTGCGCGTGTTGTGGCACTTATTGATGATGGACGTTCCATTAGATATGCAGCTAATGCCATTGGAGTTCCATATGAAAATTTACGAGACGATGTCAGGCGTTTTCGGGAAACTTGTTCTTACAATAGAAGGCCCGATTCTGGACGGCCTAGGGTAACAGAAGCACGGGATGACCGGTTCTTGACTGAGAATTTTACGAAACTGGCACCTTACCGTTGTTCACGCGATTCATCAGCTCGAAGAAGTTCGAGGTGTGCAAATTTCTGAATGTACCGCTCGGAGAAGATTAAATGAGTATGGATTAATGGCTTTTCGTCCAGTAAGAGGACCAGAGTTGACCAGAACTCACAGAGTAACAGGGCTGGCTTTTGCTCGAGAACACAGCCATTGGACTATGTGCTGTACTTTTTAAAGATTAGTCAAGATTCGCTCTTCGATCTCCAGGCGGGTGTGAAAGGGTGTGGAGAAGAAGAAACGAAAGATAAGCAGCCTGTAATTTTCCCCAGCCCCAGCTAACCTTTCCAACGTTGTTCCTTAATGGTGTGGGCTGGGATTTCAATGGAGCGCCGCACAGAATTGGTTGTTATTCGTGGAGGGTATTTGACGGCTATTCGCTATGTAGATGAGATTTTGGAACCTCATGTATTGCCTATCCTCATGGAAATCGGCGATCGTTCTATTCTAATGCACGATAATTCACGCCCATATGTCGCCCGCATAGTGCAGACGTTCCTTCAACAGAACAATATTGAGTTTTTAGCCTGGTCAGCACATTCTCCAGATTTGAACCCCATTGAGCATTTATGGAATAACATCGGAAGACGAATAAGAGCGCGTGCAACACTTCCTCATACACTGCAGGACCTTGAAAGGGCTCTTCGGGAGGAATGGGCTATCCTCCAGCAAAGGGACATTTCCTGACTGGTGGAAAGTATGCCGAGGCGTCTTCAAGAAGTAGTGAAGGCAAGAGGAGGAAACACGCGCTACTAAACGATGATGTAATTAATTTCTTTTAGAATAATAATGGTTCGTTTTTCAATTTTTTTTTCTCTAATCTTTCTTACCCAATCACATTTTGATTATTAAAGTTAAAAAAGATTATAAAATTCCATAAATACTAAGTATTATCTACAAATGCCATGTACTATATACAAAAACAACTTGTAACAACAACTAAGCTCATGTTACTATGGAAGCGTCGTCTAATCTTCGGGTGAGCTCGGGCGCGCTCTCGTATCCCTTCGGTTCCTTCATTGCAACTATTCTCTGTTACGGTCCCTTATTTCTCCTTCAGTTAATTAAATTATCTTATTCTTTCATATTTTCTATTTAACTATTTTTCCTTTCACTTAGGTATATATGAAGTGTAAGTATAGCGATCGTGAAAATTTTCGTGTCTGAGTTCTCAACGGAAATACACGTTTTGAGGTACCCTGAGTCCATATAACCAAGTCCCGAAAAATGGTCTGTGTGTCTGTGTGTATGTTAGCAGTCTAGCACAAAAATGAAAAGTCGTACGAAACTGATATTACGTATTTAAGATAGGTATATGCCTTAGATGTGACAGAAACTTTTTCCTTAAAATCGGCTAACTAGAAGTGTCACTTTATATCAACGCTGAAACACATTTTCACAATTTTCCCAAAAACGGCTCTAACGATTTTGATTAAACTCGGTTTATCATAATTAAGTGGTCTTTAATATCATTTAGGTCTTATCCCCATTGATGTCACATTACAGGGCTTAAATGCCCAATGTTCATATACATCTTCCTCTAAAGTACCTTTAATATGGTTTATTTTAAAAAAGTTAATCATCTCACATTATTCAGGGTGACGAAAAAATGCTAAATATAACTTTTGAAAGAATTTTACAATTGAATGAAGGAGAAAAAAATAAAAATGCTTAACCAGGTCGAAAATAAATCTCTGTAAATACTATACAGAAGGTATACGTATAATATATCGTTGGAAAGCTGAGAATTTGATAAAAAACATTATCTAATACAGAACGTTGTAGAAGGCAACGGAGAGTGGGAAAAAAGTATAAATAATAATTTTTGAAAACTAATAATATTTAATGTAAATCACATGTTTTCAAGGAAATTAAATGAAATTTACTTACTAAATGTAAACTTTTAAAATATTTTATTAGTTTGAAAAAATTATTTAAAAATGTAAATCCACCTAATCAAGGCAACGACATTGTTTAAAAAACTATTACGTTGTACTTGTGGGAAAGAAGAAGTAAAATATAAAATTATTTCATGGAAGTATAAAGCATATGTTTATAACCTTAAATACATTTACTGTAGTTTAATAATTCTATATCTAATATTACATTTAAATAATTAGGTATCAAGGTCCGTTTATTCCGAAATATTGTCATGTAACTTTTTAGAAAATTAAATTAGTGAATAATTTCATGAATCTTCCCTTTGTGATATTCCAACAGTATCCACTACTTTTTCATTGTACTTGTGTGAAAGAAAAGTGAAATATAAAAATCTGGTGCGCGCAACACACAACTTTCACTTCCTTGGAATAGAAATTATTTTCTGGAAATGCTGGGCTATTGTAAAATGTTTGAAGTGCATTTTAAACGGAGCTAAAGTTAAAGCTTACATATAACAAATCATTACGACCATTATAATTACAAAAATCTGGTGCAAGCAACACACAACTTTCACTTACTGCTCAACTTTTAATAGAATTTATTTTCTGGCCATGTTGGGCTATAATAAACTTTTTTAATTTCATTCTTAACCGAGCTAAAGCTAAAAAATTACAACTAATAAATCATAAATACCATTAAAACAACACAAAGTCCTATCTATTTATTTTATCACCGTTGATTATGGATTGTGCGACTGTTAGTTATTAAACTGTTATTTTCCATTGCAAAGTTTACTAAAACGGAATTAAGAGATCTATATTGTCGGTCATAAACAGGGCAAAAGTTGTCACACTAATTGTAAGTGGATACTGCAGGAATATCACAAAAGGAAATTGCATCAAACATTTCACTAATTAAATTTTCTAAAAGGTTACATGATGATTTTTCGAAATAAACGGACGATAGATACCTAAATATTTAAATATAATATCAGATCTAGAGTCATTAAACTACAGTAAATATGTTTATGGTTATAAACGTATCTATGAAATATTCTTATATTTCACTTCTCCTTTCATAAAAGTACAATGAAATCGTAGTGGACACTGTTGGAATATCACAATGAGAAGATTCATCAAATTATTCACTAATTTAATTTTCTAAAAAGTTACATGACAATATTTCGAAATAAACGGACGTTTATAAACTCTTTCAAAAGTTATATTTAGCATTTTTTTTTTTGTAACTCTAAATAATGTGAGATGAATAATTATTTAAAATAAACTATATTAAAGGTACTTCAGAGGAAGATGTAAATGAACATTGGGCCCTGTAAAGTGGTGGGATATAAGACCCGGAGATAAGACCTGATTGATCTTAAAGAACACTTAATTATATAATGATACATCGAGTTTAATCATAATCGTCAGAGCCGTTATTGAAAAAATTGTAAAAATGTGTTTCAGCTTGATATAAAGTGGCACTTCCGGTGAGCCAAATTTAACGAAAAAGTTGCAGTCACATCCGAGGGTTATACTTGTCTTAAATATGTAATATCAGTTTCGCACGACTTTTCTTTTTTGAGCTATACTGCAAACATACACACACAAAGACCCACAGACCATTTTTCGGGACTTGGTTATTTGGATTCAGGGCACCTCAAAAGAAGTAGGTTAGAATATGCATCGACGGACTAAAATATTCTCTAAACTGACGGAGCCAAGAACAAGTTTTTGTCCTGACAAAATCAAGATAGCCTGGCTAGAAACTAGGGCTAGGAAGGGTGCCCGAAAATTGATTAGCGGGGGTCGTTTTCGGCAATATAGGTGCTGGAAACTGAATTTTTCCTTTTTTCATGAAACTGTTTTTTATTTATTTATATGATATTTACAACTGTATACAAAAAATACATCTGGTAAATTCGCACATGGATATAATGACATGAAACACATGTTGAGAAACTACCCATTGGTAGCACTCTAATAATATGTCTATATTAGAAGATCACGTGGCCATCTTTTTTCCAGACGCCTCGGAGGGTTATCAGGAATTGAATAGGAAGCAAGGTTAGAAACAAGAGGGTTGGGATGGTTATGAAGTTTATTATATGGAAGGACAGGTATCAGGATTGGGCCAAATCTGATACATAAGGAACATTAAGGTCATTATGGATAATTTTATTTGTAACAAAGTAAGGAGCATTGAGGATTTTACGAAGGATTTCGGTTTGTAAAGATAGGATGCGAGAGGAATTTGAAGGTTTGGTTATATACCGAGTATGCAAAGTCAACCGAATAAATGAAGAAAGAAAAGTGAAGAATGTTTACACAGTGAGAATCTTGGGCAGCCCTTCCATAAAAAGTTAAAATGGAGAAATATATATTTTTTTTTAACTTTTATTATGATATTTACAACTGTAGTAGTATGAATACATCAAGTAAATGTGTATAGAGGAATATAATCACATGAAACACGCTTGTTGAGAAACTACCCATTGGTAGCTTCATAATTGGTAAATGGTTGACTATCGTGGATAATGATGGGAAGAATAGTTGGGGTGGTCAGTCAAAAAAGAAGGCAAAAATAAATTATAATAATTATTTTTATATATGCCGACGTTTCGACCTGAAGTTCAGGCGTTCATCAGGGCTAAGAAAATAACCAGATAACAAGGTATGAGAAACATAAGTAGTGATGGTAAAAAAAAATATAAAGAAAAAAATAAAGAAAAAAAAATAAAGTAAAATGAAGTTGTTAGAATAATGACAATAGTAAGAACTAAGAGATAAATAATAATAACCGTTACAAAGTGTAGAATGATGAAATAAGCATAATCAAAAAGGGTGACATAAGTGTTAAAATGGGAATTTTAAAATAAAATGTAAAACATGGAAAAGAAATATGAAGTTATAAAAGAAATGAAAATAAATAGTAAAAATAAGACATTGAGAATGGAGTAGTTAGATAGAAAATTGAGATATTGTAAAGTCTATCAAGATGTACAGACAATGTATAATATAATAAAGAGTTAAAAAGGGAGAAAAGGAATGAAAGAAAGGAGGGAAGAAACTGAAAAAGCTGAAATAAGGAATAAATAAAAGAAGAATTACCTGTCTCCAATACCCATAAGTACCCATTGGTAGCACTCTAATAATTTGTTTACATGAGGAGATCACGAGGCCATCTTCTTTTCAGACGCCTCGGAGGGTTATCAGGAATCGAAGATGAAGCAAGGTTAGAAACAAGAGGATTGGGATGGTTATGAAGTTTATTATGGAAAGATAGGTTTCTGGATTTGGCTAAATCGGAAACATATGGAAAATAGAGGTCTTTATGGATTATTTTATTTGTGACAAAGTAAGGAGCATTGAGGATTTTACGAAGGATTTTGGATTATAAAGATTGGATACGAGAGGAATTTGATGGTTTAGTGGAGCCCCATAGCTCGGAGAAATATGAAAATGAGATTTAGAAAATTCGTTACATTTTATTCTGATTTCCCTCCATGCTGCTGGTAGCACAGCAATAAATAGGTGGACCAACTCCAGCACTTAATATCAGAGATACACTAATGGGGGGTTCTTCAAGCTATCAAAATTTTTGAAGGGAGCATATTTTAACTGGGTTTTGAATTTTTGAGTTTTTGAATCTTTGAGCACATTTCGACGGAGCTATGAATTTTTGCTATGAAAAATTTCAAGACAGGGAAATAGGAGGAAAACATGGGACAGACCAAAGCAAGTACAATTGTATATGATCTACGGTTTGTCTAATCCTTCTTTCGCTCGCACCGTTTTAAAGAAGAGGAGAGAAATAAAACTTTTAGAGAGGGGAGATGCTTCATGCGCCATCGATGTTATGAAAGATAACACAGTAATACAATTGAAAATCTATCAGTAATAATTCTTGAATAGGTAATTAATCAGTGAGCTGCATTGTTAAATTATTATCATCGTTGAAAATTAGCCCCATTAATATGTTTTTAAACATGTTCAACTAAAAAAACTAAAAAAAAAAAAATACGGGGTTTATAGAGTACAGTATCTCAAAGAGGTTATATATTTTCTTTTAAGCCTTTCGTTAAAAAATGTTATTTCATTAAACCTAACAAAAAATCGAATTTTTGTTAAGTATTAATAAGATTTTTTTTCGGTTAAGAAAAGACCATTTACGTTAAACTGCTTTATTACCAAGTGATATTTTATAACAATAGATGGCGACGTAAAATAACTGCCTTGTATCACAGACAAAGATAAATATCCGGATATAAAATTTGAAACAAAAGATTGTAAAGTTCTAATATTTATTGTTTCTTGCACGAAATGTAATCAATTATCTGTAAGATTTAAGACATCTAAGGATAAAAAACACATTACTAAAAGTGAAACGGTTGATATGATAACCGTTTTATGGCAATGAAGGATCACCTGTCTCTTATCTTCCTCCTCGTTTTCATCGCAGCCATTTCTGGGCAACCCCAGAATGCGGAACCATTATCAAATGAGGATGATTGGGTTCAGAAAGAAGTACATGAGGTGAAACAAATTCTGGAAGGCGAAGTGGACAATGTACAGCAGATGTTCAAGGTTAAAATCGAGGAAGTTGGGGGCAAATTGCGAAACTTCTACCAGAATCATATAGGAAATTCTTCTGCCGCCTCAGATTATTTTAAGAAAATAGTACAAGTGAGTAGCGAAAAATGTAATGCAGTAATTACTTTTAAATTTCTTAAATTATAAGAACGAGTTATAATTTAGTTTGGTTCTGGTTCTTCTTTCAAGCTTCAGAAATGGATCTTTGACAAGACTAACAATAGCCGCTATCCTCTTATTTTCTCAGCCTTCCTTTAAACATGAAGAACGGATTATTCACCGGTCAAACATGACAATGATTTCCCCTACTTCTGGGATGTAGACTGCAATCAACACAAACCAGTGCCACTTTCTTTGTTCATCAACTTCGTAAAAGTAAACAACCGTGATAAACATTCGTTATTTAATTTACAATCTTCTTGCGAATCAGTGAGCACCAGCATTACGCTTACTCTCCCCTCCCTTCGTCCCCGGCAGAGTCCAGGACCCCACCCCTCCTCCTACAAACCACAACGCTCTTTAATGTTTAGTCATTAATCTTGAAATCTCATACCCACTGAATTCCACTCATCAACTGGCTTACTATACATAGTAACTTGTGCTATAGCACAAAACTTCGAGGTCATCAGATCAAAGTATATTAGATTAGATAAATACACTTAGAATTTGTTTCTCAAGAAGAAACATAACTGCAGCTGTCATTACCTAGGTCAATTGAGTGAGATGCAGATTGTTATTCTTGTTTTGGCTCAATCCATTGCAGTAAAATGAGTTTGCAAGGTTAGAACCTTGGGAGTAACTTTCGGCATCAGATGAATGTGCACTTGACTTGAATGTTCAATTCCCATTAGGGCACAGATCATCTTTCTGCAACACCGCGACTTAGGTCCTTCTATGGCTCTACTTTATATTTTAAGCTCGCTTATATAACTCTTGTGGTGTTTGGAGAACTCTTCTCTGAACAGAAACAGTAATGGTCTCTTTGGCCATTTCATTACCCTTATCCGCCATTTCATTTGCGTTTATTTTTAGCTGTATACCAGAATGGTTAATTTGATGATGTATTACTTCGGAATATTTCTGAGTTCTCAATAGTTGAAGTTTTTCAATTCATTTTTCTTTTTAATAGTTTTCGTCTGGGCATCAGCCAACTACGGCATTGTGGGAAATGAAAAAACTAACCAAGCAGCCCCAGTGAAACCGAACGTGAAGAAGAAACGGCGGTGATAAGATTAAAGAAAGTTACCTTAGAAGACGAGGTATACCACGCAAAAAAGAATGGGAGAAAGGATATAAATGGAAAGAGCGCAAAATGACAGAAGTAAAACCTAATTGTGGCAAATTGCTCACAAGCTACAGAATTTCAAGGAAAGAAGTTATGCTTTTTCGACTAAGCATAGGACAATACCAGTTTACACATGGCTACCTTCTGAGAAGACTCGAAGCGCCAACGTGAGAAAAATGTAATAACGTTCCACAATTTGGAATATCCCTAATTTGAAAATTACACAAGAAAACCGGCTTTGCCAAAACATTAAGTAACATCCTGAAAGATACTGAAAAACGTGTCACTACTTTGTTTAATTTTTTAAGTTAACAGAGTATTATAAAATAATACAAAGTGTATATATTATTTTTTAGTTATGGAAATATTAGGTTCATGAATCCATTATGCATTTCGAAAAAAATTGGTTAGTCGATCCTAAACAAAGTTGTAATGGAGTTCGTCCTCCAATTAGACTTATTGATTGATAGACGACTTGCCTTTTCAGAAACCGCCTTATTTGCCTTATAGGCGTTCGTATATAGTTGCGATTTCGTATGGTGATGTTTTGGTTTCTATTATAGGCGTTCGTATATAGTTGCGATTTCGTATGGTGATGTTTTGGTTTCTATTACAGGCGTTCGTATATAGTTGCGATTTCTTATGGTGATGTTTTGGTTTCTATTACAGGCGTTCGTATATAGTTGCGATTTCGTTTAGTGATGATTTGGTTTCTATTACAGGCGTTCGTATATAGTTGCGATTTCGTATGATGATGTTTTGGTTTTCATTGTACTTTTTATGAGTATATTTGTAATGGGTGATTTACACAGGATTAACAACGAACAAGCTTGAGCAGATATAGTTTATTCACGATTCAAACACTCATTCATCACACTTTGTCAACACAACATAGAAAATTTCTTGAGGCCATAGAGCCCCACAGAAAACTGGCCAAAAAGATGAACACCGGAAAACATAGATGGAAGAAATATCCAAGCTGGGACAGAAAAGAGGCAAGCGTAGTTGAGTTATATGAGGGTCCTAGTGAGGGGAAGCGATGACTGGCGAAATTAGATTGAGGTTCCTCCACGGAGAAAGGCACTAAGGAGGAGGAAAAATAAGAAGATCTCGGATGAAAATGCGAGGAGCGCTCCTCTTCTGAATCTAACTTGCTGGCCGGCAATTATATTTTCGTAATTTGTAGGATATTGGTCATTATCTTGTAAGTAGCAAGAAGGAGTGCTATACCTACGTAAACACTACATCTTGTATGAGTGAAGTTTCAACCAATCAACCTAAACTGCCTTTCATTAGGATAAGGCAAATTAGGCCTGTGTTCCAAGCCTCTGGTATCCTTTCGTCTTCCCATATTTTCTGGATTGGTAATAATAGCTCGGGAGTCTTCCCCTCCATCTTTAAGCAATATTGATAGTAGGTTGTTCATCTCTGGGACCTTTCTTATTTAAAGCCTTTCGATAGCAAATTCCACATCCAGTACACCAGGTTTTTCAATCTCTTGTGGATCGAGGTCCTCAGTGTCGCCTTCTTCGTTCGTAAGTTCCTTGATTGAAAAGCTGCTAGAAATGTTCTTTCCAGACGCTCAATATCTCTGCCGCACTTCTGTTTATACCGTTAGAATGCACATTTTCCTTGCACTTGCGTATTTCTCGCTTTACATCCTGCCCTTTCCTTCCTAATGTCTGTGTAGAATTCTCGTATATCACCAGCCTGCCAGTTGTCCTAAATGGTTTTCTTAATCTTTCTTTGAGGAATACCTTTTTTGCTGATTTTGATAATTTTGTTTGTTGGCTGCATACCAGACTGAAACGACTAGAAACCGCCCGACGTTTTCGACTACTGCAGCACTTACTAGACAAACGCTCTAAACATCCAACTATTTACAAAAGACTCATATATATTACTATAATAAGGCCTATTTGGACTTATGGGATCGAGCTTTGGGGCTATACTAACCATCAAATTCTTTTCCATATATACCATATGTTTCTGATTTAGCTCAATCCAGATACCTATCCTTCCATAATAAACTTCTGAACCATCCGAACCCTCTTGTTTCCAACCTTGCTTCCTCCGACACCCTCCGAGGCCTCTGAAGAGAAAATTGCGTCGGGACCATCTAATATAAAAATTTAATTGGAGTGCTACCAATGGGTAGTTTCTCTTCATGTTGTGCATGTCATGTTACTTGTTGTATTTATCATTTATATAGTTGTAAATTTCAATAATAAAAAAAAAAATTCATAATAACATAGCATTTAACGATAAATTTATGCTCAGTAACAATGAAACTAACAACATGTGAGCTGACACATACTATGTTGAAAATAGATATAACGAGTCTGATAATAAGACGTATGTATTTTATATAAGAAATATAATAACCAAGTATATGATAGACTACAAAATGGCTCGACGTGACGAAACATTAAAGTAGGGATTGGAAGTGAAAACATTAGTGTAATCTTGACTTATAAAAACTATTAAAAACTGAAATATTAAACAACACTAAAAGAACAGAAAACAATATTGAGAATTTAGCGATAGATTGGTTCAACACTGAAGAATGTTTTTGTTTCTTGTTATATCAAAATTATATTTTATTTTATAATTCTAATTTATTTTAAAAATATTTTAAGATTATACGAAATTAAAGATAGGTTAGAACTGTAATTTTTAACGTAAATGTCCTCGAACGAAACCTATCTCAAATTTATAATAATTCCATGAGTGGATGTATTTGATACATCATTATTGATCAAGCAACACATTTTATAAAATGGAATTTAATTAAATAAAATCAATACTTTTTCATTAATTGCCTTATTTTCAGATAGAGCTAAAATATATTTACATCATCTTTAGAAAGAGATTTAACGCTTAAATCTATATAAAATATAAAATTTCTGATTTACTAATTTATTTTGAAACTACAAATATCATATTTACTATACCTTGTACTAGAATATTAGAGTTCTAGAAAACGTAAGATCCTCTATTTATTTTTTAAGAGTTAAATTACTTTTTTTTCAGGATATGAAAGAAAAGATACTACAATAGTAGTTGACAATGTTCAACCCTACCATAATTCAAGGGAAAATAATATAATAAACGATAGAAGTAATTATATTTTTTTATTTTCCTTATCCAATTTTTTTTATTAAAATCAGCAACTATTGATAGCTTACTACCTATTAAAATAACAGAACATCCTTGAGTGAAATTAAAATTTATTTAAAAAAATATTATATGAGTATATGAAGTAAATGTAAGTTATAAACTATCAACTTTAACGAAGGTACACTCGACTTGATAACTGAGAATTCACGGGAGTAAAAAACCAACGAAACCTATCTGAAAAATTTAGAATAAGGCCAAGAGTGATGTCTTTGATGAAACATTATTAATCAATACATATTATAAAAATTGAATTTAAAATAGAAGATAACGTTTTTCCTTTTCAATGAATCAAGTAATTACCTCTTTTTCAAACAGAGCTCAAATATCCTTACAACATCCTTATTGTATTGCCCAAAATCGGTCTTGGTCTTGCAAAGTGCAAGACCAAGGCCGCCTAACTGTTGCAAGACCAAGACCAGGGGATTGGTAAAAAAAAATCGATTTTTTAAATAAAAATTAAGGCAAAATAATTACTAATACTCGACAATTTTAGTTATTATATGTTAATAATTGGTATAGCCAATATACTTTTGCATTTAACTCCTCTTATTTTTCATTCGGGCTTAGTTAGGTTTCTCCTATCTAAAAAATTACAGTAATATCTCTATAGTAATAAGCTAATAAGTAACTGTGAGACTCTAGCGAAAGACCAAGACCATGACCAAGACTGAGTTTGCAAGACCAAGACTCGTCCCGGTCTCGCATTTGGACAACACTACATCCTTAGAAGGAATTTAAGACTTAAATCGATACAAAATATCAAATAAAACTTCTGATTTATTTTGTAACTAATATACATCGCTACTGTTATTGCAAAAGGTCATTTGTAAAAATTGAGTTTTTTTACAAAAGAGCATCATAAAAACCGATTATTTATTAGTATAATTTCATTTTTTATTTCCCTCTGCTATATTCCTATTTAGCAGACTACTTGCAGCATTTGCAGACTACAAAATATAAACTATAAACTATAAACTACAAACTATAACGCAAAGAGTATAAACATGTAAAATTGTTACATACGACCTTTTGCACTAACATTAGCGGAATACCATCGGTATAGTGCATTTTTGGTATAGGTTAACTTTCAAAAGTTTTTATGTATTTCAACTTTATTTATCGATACAAAAAAAAAAAAAACTGTAACGGCAAGAAATTTTATACATCAAATATATTTACAACAGGCGCGGAATTTTCAGATTTCATAACGGTTTCATATAATATAATAAATGTAAATATATAAATAAATTTCATAAACCTGTCAACCTTCTTAAAAATACAAATACTTTTTATAAAATAAGAAAAAAATTAATTTAAAAAAACTTGGATTTCCTACTTTTCTGCTAAAAACTGACCCATTGTTTATATAAACATTTTTGTAGCTCTTGTGGTCAGCTATCATTTCTGTACAAATGTCCCTCTACTTACGGGACACCCTCTGTAAAGGTATCCTGTATATGTATTTCAGAAAAACTGTTATCCTGCAACTGCTTGGGATCCATCTAGACAGAGCTGTTGATCACGTCCCTCGTTGAAGAAGAGGCGAACAAGAGGATGTTATAATTATTTCAGCCGAAGTTAGACAATACAAAGTATCAAATGGCTGACGACCTTTTTGTAGCTAATATTTTTTCTCGATGGCCCCCTCCGGTAAAACAAAGCTAGGGACCCAACCTGCCCCAGCCCTAACCCTAGGGTTGTCCTAATGAATGGCCCCTTTGTTTCAGCAAATAAAAATACTATCCTTTATCCATTCTCAGCATCTGCCTCGCTGGTCCCATTGTTTTAGCCAGGGGTATTCCCACCATCCTGTCCTTTTCTATTTCGTACAACTGAAACTTTTATTATGTCACATATAAGGACGGATAGGGGTTGTGTCACACCATAGAGCAAAATTTAGAAATACTTCATTGAAACACGAATATATATATATATATATATATATATATATATATATATATATATATTATATATATATATATATATATATATATATATATATATATATATATATATATATTATATATGTTTATATATTTTATATACTTTATTTATGTTATACGTGTTTTAATGAAGTATTTCTAAATTTTGCTCTATGGTGTGACACAATCCCTATATATATATATATATATATATATATATATATATATATATATATATATATATATATATATATATATATATATATGTATATATATATATATATATATATATATATATATATACATAATAATACATATATAATATATATACATAGTATATAATACAATATATATAATAGTATAATATAATACATAGTATATAATATATATATACATAGTAATTATTGATAAGTTCTTCAGAACCTTGCCAACATCTCTAAACTGCAAGGTAGAAGAGATTACGAATAAAAAGAAGAAGAACTTTTTACCAAGTACGAAGCTGTCAACTTTCTTAAAAATCTAGTGCGGTGTGCGCATCATAACATATTTTACATATGTTATACGAATTTTAATGAAGTATTTCTAAATTTTGCTCTATGGTGTGACACAATCCCTATATATATATATATATATATATATATATATATATATATATATATATATATATACATAATAATACATATATAATATATATACATAGTATATAATACAATATATATAATAGTATAATATAATACATAGTATATAATATATATATACATAGTAATTATTGATAAGTTCTTTAGAACCTTGCCAACATCTCTAAACTGCAAGGTAGAAGAGATTACGAATAAAAAGAAGAATAACTTTTTACCAAGTACGAAGCTGTCAACTTTCTTAAAAATCTAGTGCGGTGTGCGCATCACAAACCTTTCACTTACCATTCTACTTTGTATTTTCAAATAGTAGAATATTTAAACTCTTAATTTTAAGCATCAGCTTAATCAATTTCGCCACAAATATCTATATTTTCGGTTTATTGAAAAAATTCACTTGGTACAGTTTTGATGGAGCTATACTTTTAAGCACATTGTGATTTTCGATCATGAAGCGCATAAAAATGACATGAATCCTTTTATACCATGAAAAATAATTACACGTTTTGCACAATATTTTGATATTATAGACAACAAATTCATCGAAATATTTAGTGATTTAATGTTTAAATGATTTGTCGTAATAAACCGGCCCATCCCGGATATTCTTCGTGCCAAGACCAAGACTCAATAGACTTTATTTCCCCTTTAGTAAACCTTCAGTTTCTTTCATAGTTTACACTTGACCAATTTTTTTTAAGGGGGCGAGGTGGCCGAGCTGGTTAACGCGTGCACATGGAACCAATCACACGATAAACCGGAGTTTAAAAGATATAAAATAATTACGAGACTGCGTCCCAGTGCCGGGGGCTTTCAACTAACATTAAACCCTCCCTCGCCTTCTCCTCTTGCCCGCAAAATCCCCGTATATCCTAAAAGTCGAGAAAGTGGAGGACAAAAAAAAAAAAAGTCCATTTTTATTTCTACTAACAATTTAAAATGGGTATTTATTTCTAATAAATCAACTTTAAGGTAATTTGGATAAAGGAATTTTGAAAGTTCGTCAGCTAATCCCCGTTAGGCTATTTCTATGAGAATAATACCTAACTGATACTAATAACCATTTAATTTTACATCAGTAGAATGAAATTATTAAAAACGTTGTTGAGAAAATTTTAAAAATATGTAAAATCTATTTTACAAAGTGGCTCTTCTGGTAAGTCAACCTTAGCTTTAGCATCCAAAGTATATACCTAACTTAAATACATAATTTCAGTGTCGTAAGACTTATCATATTTGAGCAACGCCGTTCTCTACACAC